TCTATTCATGCTCTCATAACGATCGTTTCCTCCAAACACTCATCCACTACTTTTTGTACACTGCGATTTATTTCATTCATCCGTGAATCGTACCCACGAGCCTCGGCGAGAAGCCACCAAATCACGTTGTCACCCCAGCTTCCTGGGAACTAGTCGAACTCAAGCCCGGAGGACTTTCCGATGTGCGTTGATAGATAGCAGTGGAAGAAGATCCAAGATTGCTCATTAGAAAGCGTATGGTAAGGACTACAAGATCAACGGCTTAATGACAGTAATGAATAAAATAAGACGGCGAGAGGCTGACAGCAGCAGCCGTCTCGTCTCAAAAGCGATCGATGCCGAGCGCACGTATCGTCACGCTCCCTCATTATGTGTGAGTTGTAGGAAGTCAAGGTCACTATAGGAGGGATAAGGGGGATGCAGAGCCATAGGATGACAACGTGCGTGTCCACGACGAAACGAATAATACATTCCTTTAAATTTCCCTCAGCTGGCAGAGTGCAATGTTAGAGCTCGTCGCTTTGATCGAGACGTGGGAGTTGGTGATATTATTGTATCGGTGATTGATGGCTCTCCGGTGGACAGGTTGGGTCCTGGGGCATCAAGCCAAATATCAATGGACAAATTGAAAGTAATTTTTCCCAGAATTTTCGTCCCTTAGGGAAGCCGCAACTTCGTAGATGAGACCGTAGAGAGGATATAAAAGTATCAAATATAATATTATGTATCAAGATGTCAGTAGAAGAAAGAGCTCTACCGTCCAGCAAGTATTGGACTGCCTCAATTGGGCAAACTTGAGGCGATGTAACACGAAGGTAACACAATTCATCACTTTTTAATCCCTGCTGAAAGTGCTGAAAGTGTAAAATATTCAACAATTAAACACTGGACTGAAAAGTGAATACCTCCATGGCGATAATATGATACAACACCTTCAAATTTCTCAGCGCTTTGGCGCCGGCAATAACGACCAATGGGAGTAGGCTATTCTGAATAGCTGTTGAAAGACTCTCAAGACTTTTCAGGCACTTTCAGAAAGTGCCGAGATGTCAGAAATTCTGACATCTCGTTTGAAATAGTTATCGAGTATTCTGACTCAGAATACTCGCTAACTATTTCAAACTTAGTCCCCCTAACAGGGTACGATCGTACCCTGCGAAAGCCATCAGCATGGACTCATCGAGGCCACGCTCGCCTCCCTTTCATTCGCATCTTCTCCATCTGAATCGAGAAGAGCGTCTTGATTGGTTGTTGTTAGTTGCTCCAGCGCTGTGGCACGGTAAATGAGAAACTGGAATTAATGAAGAACTGAACCTACGGAAAACAATGTCATTCTACATTCATTTGGTCTATATTTCTCACAGACTTGCGCAGCGCTGGGTCGCTCCAGCTCAGCTGTGGTCTATTTTGTGCGAGCTTGTTCTATCATTCGGGAGGTTTTCCAGCCAGGATGGAAAACCTCCCATCCGGTCGTTATAGGCGGGTTATTAATGGGCGTATCGATTCTGATAGGCACGGTTTTTTTCACAACGTTCCCAGTGTATACGAAAGCATAATATAACTAGAGTTAAATAACGGTTTGAGATGGGCGATGACAATTAGGGGAAGATTTTTTGAGTAAACCGACAATTACACAACGTCTTTAGGAGAACTTCCGAACGAACTGGTACTCAAAGTGTCAAGAAACTACTGCAACAAGGGGACTCCACTTCTCATATGATAGTAGTAGCATGAGAGTCATTCTAGATAATGAAAGCACTGAAATAGCGAGAAATGAAAGCTTCGCTGACCAAGTGGCTAGAACGCGATGAGATAATTAGTGGCACCGAAGATAATCATCGCGATGAAATAATACACAACAAATATCCCATTGGTGGCTTCCGCTCCTCGTGAGAAGAGCTGCCATAATGAGGAACTATTAAGAAGACTCCACTAGTGAGCTAATCAGAGTGCGAGTCGCAATAGTAACATCCCGTTGATCAGCCGATCAGCTCCTCGAACTAATCACACAAAGCATAGCTTTGCAACATCCAACATCAAAAGCATAACAACAACATCATGCGACATGTACGAGGCAGTAGTATCAGCAGTGTTGACCCCATGAACATCAACGCCCCGCACGACACTCCGGTACATTCTTGAACAAGTTTGCCATCACCAAGCATATATCCTTGTAGGCGTGAGCGTTCCATTGGTAGCGTAGTTGCCTCCATATGAGTTTCGCTCCGTGAGAGCATATATTCTCCTCATTCACCGTCGGCTCTATTCCATAGAAGGCATACACTCCCATGCAGGGTTGTTCGGGCTCGAAAGAAAAAATTCTTTCAAGCGGAAATTTCCCGAAATTTCGGGAAAAATAGAAGTGGTCGAAATTTCCGGAATTTTCGGGCGAGGTCGTGGGTTCGATCCGCGGCTCCGCCAGTTTTCCATTTTTCGCCAATCCACGCGCGAGTCCGGAGAGGGAACGTACGGAAGCCACAAACGACCCACTCCTCGAATGTTTATGCGCATTGAAAAGAACGACGCAACACAACTCGTGAGGAATCGATGAATATTGCTACAGGAAGAAGTGACACTAGGGAGCCACTGCTATGGCCCACTAGTATTGAAAAAGGGCGTTTCACGCAAGAGTGGGTGATTTCGGGACGTCCTTCCCACCTTTATCCTGAAAGTTGCTGATTAACGTGTGATGGTGTGGCAGACTGCCACCGGCAGTCGACCGCTCGCTCTGGGAGTGTCGGAAAGTTGTTGATTTGCTCTTTTTTTCTGCCAGTATATTACACTGTCGAGGTGCTAACTGCGGCAGTTTGAAACTGCCTACGGAACGTGTTTCCGTCGGAAATTTTCCGAGCTTCCCAGTTCTATGGTTCTCTAAGTTTTTCGAATTCTATGGTTTCTCCTCATTTCTCTTTTCCACCAATGTGGTGGCACGCATGAATGCACGCATACCCAGAGCCTATGGGTATGCGTGCATTGACCGGTATGGGCGCGTGACATGTGGTCCATAGGTCTTAAGCTCTGAATGACGTATCCGCATACATCTCTACTAGGCCATCTTGGACGATTCCTGGTTATGGTATCACCGTTTTGTACGAGAGTCAGTACTGGGTGATGATTCACTAAGTGACTCTGGCAGGAAAAAATCAAGAGTTACACCCACTCTATCTAGACGCTGGACACGCTCTCATTGCTCATATATAGACATAACGAAGCCACTGCCAGCCGATTGTGGAGGATTTCGATGCAGCGGGCGTCGGTTCTTAGTGCAGTGGTTTATAGCACCGTAAACGCCATGCTCAACCTACGGTAGGTTACCTACTCAGGGGCGCCACTATCGCGCTGCTGACGCGCCTATAGAATACCGCGCGCAGTGCGGAGCGAAACGATTCATATTGTGCCAAATTTCCGGAAATTTCAGGAAATTTCAACGGAAATTTCGAGGAAAGAATTTGACCCAATTCTTTCCCGATTTGGACAATCCTGGTGACGTTTATAATCGTGAAGTTTCTAGCGATGACTATGACGATTCCAACAAATTATTGGCAACAATAACGATGACGATGCACTCAACGATGATGATGTCGATAATGATGATTAATAGGAGGACAGAGATCCTCGTGATGATAGTTGATATGAGCATTGTCGATGTTTAGCTCAGCGATAGGGTTTTTCTGCCGGGGGATGACGACTCACAATGGGGAGATAGGTGACGACAACACTACCCTGCTGATGTTGATAATAACTCGTCGACAGCACAGCATGAAGTACATGCGCTTACCACTAACATTGTTAGTCTAACAATGGGCCTGATGTGACACCTCACAAGAGAACTGTGGACGCTCTCAGTTCTTTGCTCGCCAAAGAGGAGAGAGGATGCTAAGTCTGTCGTATCCAGGACAGGCACGAAAATGATAAGAAGAGCAAGATTTTGACGCCGTGTTCGAGGCGAACCTGGTCTATCAAGGCTCCTCGCCCACGAACACGCAGGCACCCTAGCAGTGCTAGGCTAGCACTGACCCTGACCCTCATTTCGCCTTCCTTTCATCCTCCTGTATGATGTGGTAGACTCTCAAAGTTTGTTCTCGTTTTGAACCACCGCGACTACGACCAATAACCTCCTGTTCGACTATTCAACTTGACTAGTTCACAGAGCGCGCACCTGTGCAATCGACATCTGTCTTTCACAAGGCTATGTTCTTCGTGCTCACACATCAGCGGAAATCGTAATTTCTTGCTGATCTCCTTTCTCATGAACTTGCCCGGTTATGTCATGTTCAGGTGACAAGCGTG